ATGGGAGTTCATAACCAACTTGAATCTAATGTATGAAACATGATATGTCAAGAGCTTTGTAATGTTTTGAACAACCAATAAAAAAAAATATATATATATATATAAAATTGTTGCTTTAACTTGAACCTACCAAACCCTAAATTTGCATATTGTGACACTCCACTGAAATGTCTGCAAAAATTATGATTAAATTCTTTGCTCAAAAAAAAAATAAATAAATAAATAAATAAATAAGTGTGTCCAGGGCTGGTCCATCCTGCCCTTCCTCCTTCAGCCCACCTGTATCCCACCTCTTTTTTCTTCTTTTTTTGGTTGTAGTTGGACACAATATCTCTATTTTATTTATTTATTTTTATGTGGTGCTGAGGATGGAACCCAGGGCCTCACACATATATTAGGGAAGCGTTTTACTGCTGAGCCACAACCCCAGCCCTCTTTCCCACCTTCTAGCCATTCCACTGAGCATTTCCTAGGCCTAGTCACATACACAGGAAGGAGAAAGATAAGGGGAAAAGGGCAGGAGAACAAAGGAAGCCTAGGACATATAAAAGGGGCAGAATACTTCGCTGTTGGGGATACCTGGAAACCAGTTATGGTCCCCTTCTCCCTCCCAGGAGAGGTCTATGTTACCCCTTTTTCAATAAGCCCTGCTTTATATGCTGGCCTCGGTGTGCTTCTCTAATGTTCAAACTTCAACATGTGGAGAAGCAGAACTAGTCACCAATAACTGGTGGTATCAGTACCCTATTATTCAGTATATTGAACCCAAATTTCTTACCTTTTGGGTTGCAAAATTTTCTATGCTTCAAGTCAATGATTATTTTTATTTTATAGATGAGAAAACAGAAACACTTGAATTAAGTTTCCCAGGATCACAGAGTTAGAGCTCTCCAGCATCACACAACACTGCTCCTGTTAGTGTGTTGCTATTACCTTGCAATTGCATTGTATTATCTCCAGATTATTTCCCACCTACATTATTCTAAGACACTTTTTGTTTGTATGTTAACGTGGAGCCTGATATAATAGACACTTTAAGTCACTTACTGATATTATACTAGAATGGTTATGCAGATAAACCACAATGCCAAAATTCCAACTTCTTCTTCTTCTTCTTCTAGAGAGAGAGAGAGAGAGAGAGAGAGAGAGAGAGAGAGAGAGAGAAAGAGAGAATTTTTTTAATATTTATTTTTTAGTTTTCGGAGGACACAACATTTTTGTTTGTATGAGGTGYTGAGGATCGAACCGGCAGCACGCATGCCAGGCGAGTGCGCTACTGCTTGAGCCACATCCCCAGCCCCCAAAATTCCAACTTAAGTTATAGGCCACTAAAACTGTTTTCTTCTAGTTGTATACTTGTCTATTGTAGTTGCTGCTAAAAAASAGTTGTGGCATCAAATTTTCCTAGAAAGTATTCTGACCCACGAATATGCAATGCTGCAATCTGAGTGGAGACAAAAATATATGTAAAATCAGGTTAAGTATCTCTTATCTAAAAGACTTGAGACCAGAAGAATTTGAATTTCAGATTGTTTTGGATTTTAAAATATCTATATATACATGATGAGGTAACTTGGGGATGCAACCCAAATTTAAACACAAATTCATTTATGCTTCATATATTTATATCGTATAGCATGAAGATAATTTATTATATACCATATTTTAAATAATTTTATACAGGAAACAAAGTTTCAAGGTATAGAATTTTCCTTTTGTAGTATCTTGTCAGTGTTCAAAATGTTTTAAATTTTGGAGATTGCAGATTTTGGATCTGGGATGCTCAAACTGTGTGTGTGTGTGTGTGTGTGTGTGTGTGTGTGTGTATGTGTGTGTTTGTATAATTTACATAAATGGCAATCCTAGAAATAACAGAAATCATCAAGCATGATGTTATATATAATCTCTAGTACTTGCAATGTTTACATTTAATACATGCACTATACTCCGTGATGAAACACAACAAAGTAAATAAACAAAGCTTCTTCAATAAGAAGATAATGTGAATGACCATTTCATAAGAGAATGCAGCTATCCATGGCCTTGATAAATGCTAGGCAAGATTCATGTAAATTAAATACTTGTGTCTACCATTATGCTTTAAGTATTCAAAATCAATCTTTTTTTTTTTTTTTGTAGGGTGGAGTGGGGGGGATTGAACTCAGAGGCACTTGACCACTGAGCCACATCCCCAGCTCTATTCTGTATTTTATTTAGAGACAGGGTCTCACTGAGTTGCTTAGAGCCTCACTTTTGCTGGGGCTGGCTTTGAACTAGCGATCCTCCTGCCTCAGCCTCCAGAGCCACTAGAATTACAGGCGTGAATCACCACACCCAGCTTGCATTCAAATTCTTGCTCTACCATGTGTAACAAAGTTCTCAACTTTGTGTGCCTCGGTCTCCTCATTTGTAAAACGGGCATAATCCCAGTAACTACTTCATAGGGCTTTTTATGAGGTGTAAATACATACAAGGTGATAAGATTAGTGCCTGACAAATAGTAAGTGCCCAACAAATGTTGACTGCTGCCCTCCTCCATTTTCATTGTCTTTATTATCACTTAGGGGTAGTATCTTTTCTGGTCCTGGAAAACAGGGGGCTAGATCACAAATGGAGGAGAATATCCCAGCTTCCATCTTTTTCTCAGACTTGAAGATTCCTGGGTTATTAGGTTCCATGGTTTTTGCAGGGGTTGGAATGAAGGTCATGTGTACCTGATGAAGGGTACGACATTTGCTAACATAGACATACAAGCCCAGAGTAGGGACCATGGTTAGGCAAATCCCAGAGAGGAGGAGGACACTTGGCCTTGAATGAGAGAAGAGATTTCAAAAAATGATGGTTTTCAGAAAGGGAACGAGGATGTGATGTAGATGGGCCAGCAAGGGGGTAAGTGGGGC